CACTCGCTTCGACATCAACTTGGCTCCGCATGCATGTCATGTCAGTAATAACTAAAGCCGCCAGGCCCATCCAAATTAAACTTCTTTTCATCGCTAAGAATCACGACTCTCCAAAACTTTCTCTAATTTGCATATTTCTCTGTGAGCCTCTTCTTCTTGTGGTGAGGCACAAGAGCCGGAGTGGGTTGCACTCGGAGTACGTAATGTAGCGGCTGCTGCGTAGCATACGAAGGACGGTGGAATCGACTCTTCACATGCGAACGTCTGCGGCATGTGCCCGCTCAATGATGTCGTATTACCGTATTGCACGGAAAGCTGCTGCGGTGTAGTTGAACAAATACATGCCGCCAGATGTGGATTCCTTACAGAAAACCAAAACAAAATCGGTACACTGTAGAGTATTGATATAGTATTTCACAGGGTTAAAAACAAAATATGAAAGTTACCAAGTGAATTCAGGTCAGCGAATCCAGCCAAATTGCCTATTTCATTCGGATGGATGCGTGCAATGCCACAACTTCCGGGTTCTACGACTAGCCAGCCTCCTCACTACCTATTCTATAAGATCAATACAGCTGCAAATGTGTTTTGTTTTGGCTTAGAGGCGAGCTTTATTCATCGGACATCCATATCCGGCTGGTAACGGTTGGGGGCTGAACACTTTCATTTCCGGTGGCCGTGTGTGTTTCGCGGAATTGCTCGGTACTTTTCAGGCTTTTACGTCATTAAAACATAAACTAGATACTGTTCCGCAGTTTATGGCGATTTAACACGTTCTCCGATCTTGGTGACTGCCAGGCATCCCGAAAAATAATAATGCAGGAAAATATAACACTATTTTCAGATATAGTACTTTATTTTAGGCACCTCTAGATTTTTTTCTGGAATTTATGTGGTCAAGACTCAACATTCGGAAATTTATTTCTGCTCCTCCTGGTCCAACCGTTCAATGTCTCGCTCTGCCAACGGATCGAGGCCACATCTCTTTCTTAATTTCAAACCAACTCCCTTCCAAGCACGCTCACCGCCACCCACAGCGCCATGGACGACAACCTCCTCGCTACCCCCGCCCCAAGGCCGACTTTCTCGCCCAGGCAGATTGCTGCCTTCTACTTCAAGCCCTGCCTGGACGAGGGGGGAGAGGCAACGGGATATTACGCCTGCAAGACCTGCGCTAAGCGCCGCAAGCACGCGCTCAAGTCGGGCTACAGTAACTTGGTGTCGCACGTGCGTCCAGCGCATCCCAACGACGAGAGCGACATGCGCGACGCCAGTGTTGCTGCGACGGGGACCCTGTTGCCATGGGTCACTCAGAAAGACTCGAACCGCTACGCGTGGTTGCGCTGGGTTGTCACTGGCAATTTGCCTCTGTCATTCTGCGAATCCAAGGAAACGCGACAGTAAGTAGTTTTGTGTCTATATTATAGTGGTTGAAAGCGCTCTAACGCCGTCTGTTCTCTAGGTACACGAAGCTAAATCCCATGTCTGTGGAGACACTGACGGCCACTATGGAGGCTGTGACCAAGGCCGTGGAGAAGAAGCTCGGGGCCTCTATGCCCGAGCATTTTGGTCTCATCCTCGACGGCTGGACGCACAAGACGGAGCACTACATGGCGGTCTACGGCTGCTTCGAGACGGCCTCCGGTCCTCAGTACCCACTGCTGTCGCTAGCGCCTGTCATGGATCAGCCTGACGACCATCTGAGTGCTGACGGCCATCTGACGGCAATCAAGCGATTTCTCCCTTTTTTTGGTAAGTCGATATCCGGTTGTCTCTTCCTCGTAGGCGACAACTGCACCGTAAACAAGCGGCTGGCGAACCTACTTGGCTTACCGTTAATCGGCTGCGCTAGCCACAGGCTCAACTTGGCGGTGCGGGACTACCTGGAGCCCCACGACATTATTCTTGAAAAAGTGCAGCAGCTTATGCGTAAGTTGCGCACTCTCAAGCAAGCGGCCAAGTTGCGGTAAGTACAGTGATCTGTAGTTTGGGGTTTGTATGTCACTAAAACCTATACTATTTTGGGTTTTGTCCGAAATTAGTGCCAAGACACCATTGGTTGCTGTCCTCAGACAGGACACGCGGTGGTCGTCGACATTTGCAATGCTCAAGCGCTATTGCAAGCTGCGCGAGTGCATTTCGGCCGACGACGAGGAGCTCGCGGACCTCCTTCCGTCGCGTGGGGACCATCGCAAGCTGGACGCGCTGCTGGCGAGCCTCCAGGACGTCGCGTCAGTGTCCAAGCACCTGCAGAGTGACGGGTTGACGCTACTGGACGCACGTGTCCTTTTCGACGAGCTCATTAAGAGCCATCCGTCATTCACGAAGTATCTCGGTAAGAAGCATTACTTATTGTGTATTTCTAACTTATTTATTTAACCCAGTTTATTTGCTATTTGTATAGCCGCTGATGCAGATATTGTCCACTCCACCGTGTTCGAGCAAGCGGTCGTCAAGGTGCTGGACGACCAGGCGAGCCTGCTGACCGATGGCGAAGTCTCTGCGCTGGACCCCTTCAAGCGCACGCAGGCCGCTGGGGGAGGAACAGAGCGCGCGCCGGCGGACAAGGAAGGCTTTGCTGTGCGTACTCTTAAGCGGCGCAAGACAGCTGACGCGCCGGCCACCTACGTGCTTCTGGAGGCGATTCCGCCAACGTCCAACATCGTCGAGAGGCTCTTCAGCGTGGCGCGCGCTGTACTGCGCCATGAGCGTCACCGCATCTCTCCCATGATGCTGGAGATGATCCTGTTCCTGAAGATCAACAGCTCTAGATGGAATGTAGCGACGGTGGAGCAGTGCCTGTAAGTAGGCATTGCGGTAATTCGATTGCAGTAATTTACTGGATCGTCACTTAGTCTTGTCTTATTTGTTTTCTTACTTGCTCAACCACACTAAAATATTTATCGTGCTCCTCGGCCATCAATAGATCTCTATCGTATTTTCGGCATGCCTGGTGACCGCACCTTCGAACTGCATGCTGATAATGGCATCGGGGCAGTGGCAGGATCATCAAAGACTGGCGGGTGACACCATCGTCGTTTGCTCCCAGCGCATCAATTGAACTGACTTTCTATTGTGGAATAAGAATTTGGGTGAAACTTTTCTTAGAAATTAGTCATTAATTGCATTGATTTAAATTCTAAATCTGTATTTCAAAATTTGTGATTACCAGATTCAATTGCTAAAATGTCGGAGCGGAAGCGCCGTCGCGTGGACCAAGATGCTCGCCGTCTCGAGCTGTGTGCGGATGACTTGCGCGAATTAGGCTCCGCCATTGGGTCCTGTCTGTTCCGCGCGCCATCGACACACGTATCAGTACCATTGCAGGCTCCCAGTTCGTCTTCTAAGCCTCGCAAGACCGTCTCAAAGTCGCCATCCAGCCCGTCCCGGTCACTCTACTCGCTGGTCTCTAGCGCAGCCTACGCGACGAAAACGAACGTCTCCGGGCAACAGGACACGTGGCAAGCGACTCTTTCTCGATTCGCTCTCGAGATCGCCGAGAAAAACGGGTCTAAAGAGGCGATCGAGCGCTGCGACCGGCTCAAGCGGCGATTTGAGGCCCTGTCCGACACCGTTCGCTTGTGTCAGGAGAAGGTGAGAGCAACGGGAAGCGAATTGACACTACAGAACCGAGTGGAGAGTCAACTGGCTCAGGAGGAGACCGCGTGGGAGCAGCAGATGCAGACGAGAGAGCAGCGCGTGGCCGAACGGGAGGTGGAACTGCAAGCTCTGAAGGAAGAGAACGAGGCAGACGCGGCCGCACAGGAGGAAAACGGGAACTCAGAGGAGGAGGAGCAGGACGAAGAAGAAGAACAAGTGGAGATAACTGAGCTACAAGAAGCTGTAGCTCTCCGTGCAGAGGAGAAGAGAGACATCGAGGCAGCTATTGACTCGTTACAAAGGAAAAAGACGCGACGGCAAGCCGTGATCGCTGAGGAGAAGAAGAAGAAAGAAGCGGAGAGTGTGGACGTGGAGGCAGACGCCGCTGCAGCAGCTAGAGAACAGGTGTTAAGAGAGTTGAGAGAGGAGAAAGATGCGCTGCAAAGAGAGATCATAGCAGCCGAAGAGACAGAAGAGAACTTGGACGAGAACGTTCGGGACTTGCCGGCGCTGAAGGAGGAACTGGCAGAGGCCAAGAAGGAGAGAGCAGAAGTGCAAGCTCAAGTGGATTCACTGCGGCTGGAGCTGGCCAGACGCAAACGGAAGATGAGACACATGGTCGACGTGCAGCTCTTGACTGCGAGAGACACCAACCCACCGACTTTACGGGAAGAAGCAGTGCTGCTGCATTTGCTGTACGAACACGAAGGTGAGATGGGAGTGAACGAGTTAAAGCAGGAAGCCAGTACAGTACTCAAAGACCACGGCAAACCCAACGGCAACGGCGTGGTCATTCGCGCGCTGTACTCGCTGGTAGCCAACGGCGTGGTGCAGATTGATCGCTCGTACGGCAACGGACTGGTAACGTCGCTGCTGGTCTAGACACGATAACCAAGACGCAATATGTACACGTCCATTCCAGCAACTTACTAGGTATCAACTCTCACCTGTGCTGCTTAATTTTCTGTTCACACGTCCAGGTGCACTTTTTCCAGCGCTTCTGGCTCGGGCAAAGTTTCATCCGGAAAGGCCTTGCGGATGAGCTCAACTGACGCGAGAACTTGACCATGCAACGTCTCTCCGTCGTCTCCATTGAACACCACAGACAGCCACTTGGGCTTCGGCTGTTGCGGACGTTCGTTCTGCTTGAGTTCTTGAGACGTACACACCGTCACGCTGTTATTACTACCAGCATCCGACAGCTTGATAGCTGCTGTGCCGATGTACTCAGACGGACTCTCGTTCCTCACATGGATCAACACGTGCGGCGCGTACTGCAGATCCGGTAGATTCACGTCCATACAGAACGTCTGCGCCCAAATCGGACACGTAGAAGGCTCCTGTTCCTTAGCAGTCTCCGTCTTGTGGCAGCCGTCCCAGCATTGAACTGTAGCGCTCGCGACGATCGTCTTGGTGCTGTCATGCAGCGACACCAAGTTCCTGGCTTCATGGAGACGCACACGCACCTGGTACGGCTTGTGGCGGTTCACGCACTCGATCATCGTCTTCTGGTCCCACGACTGCGCCGTGGCTGTCTCGATGGCGCCAAAACCGAGACGTACCATCACTTTACCGGTAAATTCCTCGCGTGGCTTGGCCTTATTCACCGCACGATCTCCAACCAAAGGGATCCACTCCGTCTCGCGTTCAAACTGCGAGATCAGCAGTTCTTTCGCACTGAAACGTTTGTAGCAAATGGCTACACGGTTGTCGTCATCTTTTTCGCACAAGTACAAGAACACGTCCGGTACTTGGTTGATATCCACGGGGAAGAGCATCTTGTCGCTCTCCTCCGTCTCGTTCCACTTGATACTTCCATTCACAGCGCTCTTCCTCGTGGACGCGATCTGACGGAGGCCACAGGACAGCACGAGCGACAATTTCGGCTTCCCAGTCGCCACAGCAGACGGCAATCCGATCGCCTGCACAAAGTGAGCTCGCATACGATACACGCAGCTCTCCGGGAAGCTCTCGATCGGCAGTTTAGGAGCCAAACGTTTCTGGTGTTTCGCTTCGTACGTGTCCGACGACTTGGCTCGGATACGCAGCGTCAACAGCACACGGCCACGATACGCAGACGCCAGATTCCCATTCTCATTCATGAATTCTGCAGCTCGACTGTTGTTACTCACACCTTTAACGGGTGCACCGTACAAATTCACCCAGAAGGGCTGGTTTTCGTGAATTTTCGCCACAGCTTCGACGTTTTTAAGTTCAAATTTCCCGACAACTTCATCGCCGCCCACAGGATCCCAGTCCATGACGTTAAAGATCACATCATGAGGTTCCTTAGTATCCGGCAGATACAGCATCAAACTCTCGCGGAAATTCGCGTTCAACTGGTCCCGACGTCCATGTTTCGTACGCACGCGTGTGCGTACAAATTCCTCTGGTTCGGAGGCCAGAGCTGCAGCCACATAAACGTCAATGCCTCCTTTGCTGTGTTTACGGTTCTCTCCCTTGTCAAACAACAACGAATCCATCGGTGGGAGCCCCTCCACTCGATGAATCGTGGCCACTGCGAAGTTCAGTCTCGAAGTTCCTGGTGCTGGAGGCGGCAGTGAAGCTGCATCGACCTCGTCGTCACTCTCAACGTCCAAAACTTCGTCGTCCTCGTCGTTTAATTCGTCATCCGAATTGTACGGACCGTCAGGTGCACTCACGCGCATTGACTGCTTGAGTGACTGTAAAATGGACTTTTCCTTTTTCTTTTTGGAACTTTTCGTTATACTTTCGGCGTTTTCGTCAAAAACCCACAAAAGTCGCAGCTTTAAAGTGCCGCGATCTTTGTCATGATGCAGCTTTTTATCCAGCAGAGTGACGGTCACTGTCTTCTCCTCATTAGGTACCACCACATCGGCCAGAACCAATTGGGCGCGACCCAAAAAGTCGTTAATAGTGCGGTCTTCGTCCTCTGCCAGCAACTCCAACGTTGTATGGGCGTCACTCAGTAAGAAGGCGAAGCGTTCGTCCCAATGAGGCTTCAACGTTTTGGCTACAGTTTCAGTTTGGTGACGTTGCCCCACAACTGACAACTTAACGAGAGGATCGCTGCTGTTATTGCGGTCCATGGGCAGTAAATCTTTGCCCGAGTCGATGGTAACGTACAGTAAGTTGGGGCTCTCCGAGACCACGGACTTGGCCTTGAGTCTAGCTGCAGGTTTACTGAATGTCAAGTGGAGTTCTCCCTTGGCGTCCGTCGTCATTAGATCCGGCACCTTCACGATACGGTACCAGTCGTCCATGGGCTCCGAGTCGCACGTAATCACGTCCAGCGGGACATCCACGACGCCCAACACGTCGTCCCGCTTAAGTCCGTCGAAGTCGAACACCATGAAGCGCAAAGTCGTCGCTAACCGCAGGTCGAAGCTACGAGAGCCGAGAGTGAAGGTCTCGTGCCATTCAGGGCTTAGTGTACGCTTGGCCACGCGCGTCTTGAAGGTGCCTGCGGCCGCCAGTGGCTGCCCCTTGGCGTCCAGCACTGTTAGCTGCACGAACGGGTCACTGGAGCCGTTCAGATCCCCCACGAGAAGGTCGCGCGCGCCCTCGACGCCTACAACGAGCTGCGTCAGTGCAGTCGACATCTTGTTGTCAAATGATCGCTCTGCGTGGGTACAGTTTTATGATTCTACATTCACGCGACATTCGGACGACCGTTAGAAGCGCGGCTTTGCAACTTCTACATATGACAAAAGTTTGTGCTTTGGAAACCATACGCTTTCAGATGGTTGTAAAAGGCGGGTAAAAGTTACTACTGCAGCGCGATCTCTTCGAGGCGAAGCCGGTGATTTATTGTATGTGCCGTGGCTATTGTGACTCTCGCGTTAATCTCCGCTTCCGCTAGAAGCTTGCAGCCAAATAACCATGTTGATTGGCTTAGAATTACGAATTTACCTTCAGCACCGGTCTAACAGTACCATACGTCTCAATCTTCTTCATGGCTGTACCCGATCGGTGATTCGTCCTTCTGGGGTGTTTCTTGCTCGCTCGAAGTCGTTTGAGCAGCCTTGGAATTGATGAAGTTCTGTGTTACCAAGTCGATGGCTATTCATAATTCAGGCACATCGATAGGTAGTCGTGCGCCTTTTACGGAGATTTGTGGATCTTATTAGCATTTTAATGCTTTTTAAAAATGCCCAAGTTTAAGATATTTTTATGGCAGTGATACCACCCACTTGTCGTTGTCTGGATAGGGAGATACGATAATTTTCTGGACATCAAATTTAAAAAATCTGAGGCCTTATTTTACGAACATTCTCTTGTATTCGTAATGATATGGCAGTCTAAACTCTAGAATTACTTATCAACAACTTATACTTAAAACGGCCAGGCCTTGTCCAGCTTTGGGATAAAGTTGCCATCGTTCATCGGCACGTTGGCGTCTCCAAAGCTTACAGTGTTCAATGCCAACCGCGCAGCATCTGTCATCTGGTCCCACATGATCAAGTCCTGGAATTCGCCAGGATCCGTCGTCACGTCCGTAGCATGATTCATCGGGTAGGTGCTCTCATAGTTAACCTTAACACTCGTACCATCTAGAGTATCGGCATTCGGAGGTGCATACTTTGAGTAGCCGCTGTGCGCCGAGGGCGTGACCGCCAGGATAATAGGGTCCGGAACATCCGGGTTGTTGATCCACACGATAACATGCTCCCAGTCGTGACGATGCCCCAGGCCAGTTGAAGGCGAGTCTTTAGGAAAATACCAAGAGTACATGATGGCCCAAACATCTCTATGCCACGTTGAGCGGCCGTACACCTGTGAGCCCCAGCCAGAGCCCTTGCATCCGGCGGTGGGGGATCCGGTAGTCTTCAGACCGCCGCCCGTCTCGCCAATATCGTTCACTGCAGGGTACGGGTGGCATCCGTCACCGATGTGTATTTGGGGTTTAAACTTGATAGCAGCCCTCTCCGAGATCGTGACCGGTTGGGGCTGCGCGAAGGGCTTCACTTGATCGTGGCCGATAGTTGCTGGCTGTTGTTGTTGCTGTTGTTGTTGCTGTTGTTGTTGTTGCTCTTGGCCTTGAATTGTTGACAGGGCCACAAGAGCAGAGCACAGGAAAGCGGTGAACTTCATGGAGTTCGAAGAGATGCTGACGGCTTGGATAATTGATAAATGAACTTGAATTTGAGGTCGAATAGATGGCGTCAAACGACCAGCGGATTTCATCCTATCCGACCCCAGAGATTTTTTTTGTAATAGACAAAGATGAGAACGGCACTTTACGGACAGACACGAAATTTCCCCATCTCACGGAATAAAGGTAGCATCATGTTGCGCAAGCAGTCATTCATGGCTTTAATGGGAAGACTTCAAGAAGGTTTGTGTGGAAGTTTCAATATATGTACGAAGATACACCACTGTCCTCCCTCCGCTTTGTGGGTCGTGAACGATGGAAACTGCTTTATAAACCTAAAGTGCCTTCACTGGCACCTTCACTAATAGCTGAATGCCTGCAGTTTGTGCTGGTGTGTATATTCCCGAGCACATCATTCCCTTTTTGAGATGCCAGGCGGTTTTCAAGACCCCGCGTTGGTAACACCACATTGTTTGCTCTCTTGAGCCATGGATGGTTTGGTCGGCCTGTGATCGAGGACATCGATGTGGCGAGATCACTCAGGCGATTGTACCCTGAAGTGGCCACTTCACAATACAGATGCATGCGTACGACAGCTCATTGTTTTTTTTGTTTGTGATTGTTGACACAGCCTTTAGAAGCGCAAAATGTTTTCTTTGCAATCTGAAGTTGTTTTGGCACTGCCGAGGTGCTTGCGTAATTAGTCAAATTAAAGGAATTTGCTGGTGGGTCGCCAATACTTGAGCGTCTGGCTAAGTTATGATGATACACAGTTTGAGCCCTCCATAGTTCGGTAATCGTAAGTGCACGGTTCAAGGAGAATCTCCCTATATCGCATTCAAATCTAAAACTTCTCATGCGCGCCTTTGTCGACGGCAAATTCTTGAAGCCACATCTTCGTCTACACGATATGTGGGTCAACATTTGACACAACCTTTCACCTTGTTGCGAATGTTTGCTCGGAATTTTGTTGTCAGCTCATCAGGCTAAGCCCCCTAGATCCGTCATAACGGCACACCACAAGAAGAGTACTTTGGGAATACATGTAAATCAAACCAATTAAACAGAAAGCAAGAGCCTCTTTGCTTGTCAGTGTTAACCCTTGAAATGACTTTAATGTACAATACGCTTTAAACGAAACGAAGAGCCCTTTCCTCGTTAACGTTGATTTCATGTTGTCACCAAGAGACACAGAGCTCCAGACCGTGGAAAATATAAGGGCTAAAGTTTTGTAGAATATTTCGAGGACGAGCAAGGACGTGCATCGTGGCATTGACAAGGAGAAAATGCTGGCGATGGTCTGGGCGACACTCGTTCTACCCGATCATTTTATACATTCATTTTACAGACGGGGTCGACCCTAATTTCGGGGATTTTTCTAAAATTCAAGCTCAACCCGAATTTAAGAAAGCGGTGGGGATCAGAAAGTAGCCGTATAGAATGCATAAAAATCGATAGACTCCGGGTTCAAAATCGAAATCCGACTCGACCAGTAAATGACAGACTTACATGTGCTGGTCCTTTCAGCCTCTCTCTCTCTCACTCTCTCTCTCTCTCTCTCTCTCTCTCTGAAATGTATTCACTCTTTTCTAGCCACAGTACCATTAAGAAGCCAAATGATTTTATTTAGCGTTGCCAACAAGGAAGCTCGCTTTTTTTTTTTTTAGGAATAATGAATAATGAGGCTTCAGGATAGTATATGTTAATCACATCAACTCCACTATTCTCTCTCACATTTGAAGAGCGTACGAACTAGTGGCATATTACTAACGTTCACTACCTATCTTGTAAGTCAACGTGTATCCGACCAGACGAACACCAAGATGTCATGACAGGATCACAGTTGAATCTCGCTTATAGAATCTCTTGGGTTAAGATCAAGGACACTCACCTAGCGCACATCGTCGTGAGATTAAAACTCCCTCGCTATCCGTGACTAGCGAAATGAAAGTCAATTCGTCACTCTGCAATTCGCCTTCAAGTTCTCAACCCCCCCCCCCCCCCCAAATGAACGTCCTTACATTCCTCATAGCAGCCGCAGTATCACTCGCTGTCGTCCAAGCCGACGTGATCTCGCACGATGCCGTTGTCCCGTTCGCCCAACCCACAGCCACCACTACGGAACAGAAGGCTGGTGTCAAGTTCAAACCGCAGATCCACATCTCGAACGGCTGTCATCCGTATCCTGCAGTGGATGCGAACGGCAATACCAGTGGCGGTCTGAAGCCTACCGGTTCCTCTAGTGCGGGCTGCAAGGGCTCCGGATACGGCAGTCAAGTCTACGGTCGAGTGGCTACGTACAATGGCGTCTACGCTATCATGTACTCGTGGTATTTCCCTAAGGACTCGCCAGTCACTGGACTGGGGCATCGCCACGACTGGGAGCACGTGGTCGTCTGGGTCGACGATATCAAACTCGATAGTCCGTCGATCATCGCTGTGTCGCCTTCTGCCCACAGTGGCTACAACATCTACTATCCACCCGAATCCAACACCATCGACGGCTACAGTGCCAAGGTGGATTACTCGTCCAGTTGGGTGGTGATCAATCACGCGCTGGACAGCACGACGGACGCTGGAGAAACCCAGGATCTGATCATGTGGGATCAACTCACGGACGCAGCACGCACGGCGCTGGAAAATACGGACTTCGGCGACGCTAACGTCCCCATGAAGGACGGCAATTTCCTAACCAAGGTAGGCAACGCTTACTACGCTTAGAGCAAGTTTCTAGTATTTGTAAGTAAAAACATTATCAATACTTCATACAGTAAGCATGCGTGTAGTCATCGTATTCTGATACTGTAACTTAACCTCAAGTCAATACGGGAGAGTACCGATCGTCTTTCATCGGTAAATTCGCCTTGTCGAAACTCGTGTTATTCAGGGCGTATCGTGCTGCGTAGGTCATGTCATCGAATACATGTAAGTCGGGGAGTCGAGAAGGTGGTTTCAATCTATCACTTAGAAGGAACACCCAAGACGCCAAATCATGCTCTTATTCTCCACTATTTCTTCTAAGAGTTATTGAGTAGCCACTTAATTAACAAACGCGTTTGACTGAAGCACTGGGTAATATCGTTTCGGTCATATTCTAGTGTCGGAGCAAGCTACCTTCGGACAGAGCGATCACTAATTCGTATGCCCATTCCACTTGCGGATGGTGCAACGCGTCCGTCCGACAATGGTGGTTATGACACCCGGCAGCAGTAGAGAAAGATTCACACTAATCTCAGTGTTTAAGTTAGCAGCAGTTCCTTCGGTGCTTCAACTTCGTTCTCGATACGTGGAAACATGCCGCCAGACGCATTCATCTTTACCTCCTTCTCGGCTATAATACACGTAGAGTGCGAGACGCTGGATGCAAAATCCCGCAATGCCCCCGCCGCTGCTTATGTCTTGCACTAGAGGATGCGGCGTAATGCGTGGTCGAGACGGTATTAATAAGCTGGATTGAATACTTGAAGTTCTAAGGTGGTGTGGTCCACAGTGCATTATGTAAGCCACGTTAATTAAGTACCAAAGTTAAATCCAGAGCTATTTTGAACTTCATGGATATCGGAATTGCAAAGGTATTCGATATCACAGATTGGCTCTTCAACGCTGCATAGGCACCAAGCAGCCGTCTTCAACCACAACGCATACATGCCACGCACTTGACCCCAACGGCCATAGTCTCCTCTATCCTCTATTTACTCCCATTCCGCAATTATCAAGCAAGGTATCAAGCAACCTCCTAGACATGTCCGTTAAGTTCCTGAGCCAAGGTGCCACGATCAACGAGTTCGTCGTCGGTGGACGCAATCTCGTGCTGGGCTTCCCCACTCCCGAGCTCTACGTGAAATACTGTGGCCCCCACTTCGGCGAGACTGTGGGTCGCGTCGCCAACCGCATCTCAGGCGCCAAGGTGGAGCTCAACGGCAAGTCGTACGATCTCATCGCCAACGACGGCGTCAACACGCTGCACGGTGGCAACACGTGGGGACTCAAGGACTTCGAGGGCCCCACGGTCGTCAAGAATCACGAGGGCAAAGACGCCGTACAATACAAACTCGTGAGCCCCGACGGAGACTCGGGATTCCCCGGCACTGTTGAGCTTACCGTCACATACACACAGACGACAAGTAAGACCGAGAACGGCAAGGAACTCGTGGAACTCGAGGTCGAATACGAAGTGGAGCTCGTAGGCCCTGGCGACGTCAAGGAGACGGCCATTAACATCACTAACCACAGCTATTTTAACCTCTCGGACCGTGAAACTATCGACGGTACAGTGGTCACGCTTTCTTCGGACCAATACTTGTTGCCAGACGAGGGAAACATTCCCACTGGGGCGATTGAAACCTTCCCGGGTATTAAGGGCAATGAGAAGTTCACGCTCGGGGTCAAGGAGCCTAATGTGGACCACTGTTTCCTCATGAACAAAGACTCCAAGAGCATCCCGCTCGACACGCGCAATCTGCCGCTGCAGTTGCTGGTTACGGCTGAGCACCCGGATACTAAGATCCACCTTGAGGTGTATAGTACAGAGCCAGCTTTCCAGTTCTACACGGGATTCTGGAACGACGTACCGGCCGTCGCGGGACAGCCCGCTCGCGGCTCCCGCTCGGGCTTTGCCGTCGAGCCTGGTCGCTTTGTGAACGCTATCAACACGCCCGAGTGGCGTAACCAGATGCTGTTACCCAAAGGTGAGAAGTTCGGTAGCCGCATTGTTTACCGCGCCTGGGCAGCGTAGGCGGGGTTCGTTTATCGAGCGATTGAAGGTGTGCGCTAGGTTGGGATGATATGAACGCAGGAGCTTTTTGATGCGAAGGTGTAGCACAAGATGGAGCAGTGTACGCAATAATGAGTTAATACAAATTTTGTCTTACATGATGATAAGGTATGGACGCAGTTTGTAGGTGTATTATTGGCATTTGGTACCAACTAGATGGTGCTGCTCTTGTCTTCTCGTAGCTTTCTCGAAGATAAATGCTTGGGTTCTCCAAAATTTGTCCACGATAGTGGTCTGGTACTTTAGAATCGAGTTTGAATTATTTTTGTTGTGTACCGGATCCAGAATTCGAGGAATGACCCGAATTTAAGTGATCTGAAAATGCTCTCCAAGTGTCGGCTTGTGAATTGCAGTGCCCCACTTGAGCACATCGGATCACTTGTCTAAGCAGCCTGTGACTCACAGGTTCCTGGAAGCTTCAAGTGAAACTATACGAGTTGATTCATTCGGCAAGTTGGGACTCTACATGCACATAATGTTGTCTCCAGTGGAGACTCCCCACCACAGCATTCGGCTCATCAAGATGCCCAGCTCATCCACCAGACCAGATTCAACGCCAATGTGCCTCTCGTCTGCCATCCGCGTCTTGGTGATCGACCGGGAAGGAGCATCGCATGAACGGATTAAAACTTGTAGAGCTGCTAGTAGAGCAGACGAAAAGTCAACCAATATCGACATGTTCCTCGTGGCGTTTGCTCTTTTGCAATCCCAGACACTTCAAAATTTGCATCACCTCACATCAAACCCCTCGCCATAACCAACACAATGTTCAACTCTCTATTCGTCGCTGCTATCATGGCCTTTTCAGCCGTGCAAGCTGCAGTCATCGACCATGACCAGGTTGTGCCGTTCGCGCAGCCTACACCGACCTCCGTCTCCCAGATCGCGGCATTCAACTTTAAGCCGCAGCTCCACATCACGAACGGCTGCCACCCGTACCCGGCGGTCGACACAGACGGTAATACTAGTGGCGGCCTCAACCCGACTGGGTCGTCCAGTGCCGGATGCAAAGGTTCGGGCTACGGCAGTCAAATTTACGGACGCTCAACCTGGTACAACGGCGTCTGGGCCATAATGTACTCATGGTATTTCCCCAAAGATTCCCCGGCTTCGGGCTTCGGCCACCGTCACGACTGGGAACACATTGTCGTGTGGCTTAACAACCCGGCGGTAACCAGTCCGGAGATCCTCGCCGTCTCCACGTCAGCCCATAGCGGCTACACAGTGTATTATCCTCCCAGTTCCGACTACTTGGACGGCAACAGCGCCAAGATTGACTACTACAGCGTACTGCTGATCAATCACTCCTTCCGCATGACGTCGGACAGCGGCGAGACGCAGGATTTGATTATGTGGGATCAACTCACCGATGCGGCTCGAACAGCACTCGAGGACACCGACTTCGGCGACGCTAACGTGCCGTTCAAAGACGCAAACTTCGAGACGAAGCTCGCAAACGCCTGGTACAAGTAAAGTACCCACTAGTCAAGCTGCATTTCAGCTCAAATTCATACATTTATTGTTCGGGTTAAAGTATGAGAGCTTCACCCACTATGTATCATTACCCGCCACGTTCCTCTGCTGCATCGCCCATTGACGAGAATCTTTTGAGCAATGAAGTACCTTTGTCCTAGCTGCCGTGATAACCGTGAGGCGTCCGCCGGATCTGGTCCAAGACTACGTAGGCGGGTGGGGTCACACTGGACTGCGACCGACTCATGTGTTCTAGATAGTATCGATCCCGTCGTAACCAACGAGGACAAGTATCTTTTGAGTCCACGTTAGCTAGTCGCGCACTGGTCTCTTGTGTGAGTAATGCATGCCAGTGAATCTTATCACCAGAAGAGGTGACTGTTTCGACCAAGGTTACTGTAGACCTTTTCCGTTCCTACATATCTGTAGACTTCTGCCAGTGGAGGAGCCTAACGAGATTCATCTGCGATTAAGCCCAGCTTTACAATCTGATGTCGTCGCTGTGACGGTGCCATCCTGATCATCCTACGCCCGTTCTCAGCTAGAAGAGCTGCAACAACTGGGTGAGCTGCACGGTCAAGTCGGTCAGTCCTAGCCTCCATCTGAATGATATACTTGGCATCAAGGCACCTATAGGATCATTTCATTCTCACATTTGCTTCTTCTCGCAGCAGTCGCTTCATCTCCCATCGAAACAAGCTGTGTCAACGATGAACCTTGGTGCTGTCGCCGCTGCTGCCATCGTCACTCTCGCCGGCATTGACGCCGCTGTCATCGACCACGACCAAGTCGTTCCTTTCGCTCAACCTACTCCCAACACTACCGTGCAATCTGTCGCGGTTCAATTCAAGCCCCAAATCTACATCAACAATGGCTGTCATCCGTACCCTGCAGTCGACGAGGACGGTAATACTAGTGGTGGATTGAAGCCGACAGGATCTGAAAGTGCCGGTTGCAAGGGGTCCGGATACGGCAGTCAAATTTACGGACGTGCTGTTGAGTACGACGGCGTGTACGCCTTCATGTACTCTTGGTACATGCCAAAGGACGAGACGCTGGATGGGCTTGGCCACCGTCACGACTGGGAGAACTGCGTTGTGTGGCTTGATTCACTCGATAACCCCAGCATTGTGGCGTTGTCAGCTTCTTACCACAGCACTTACCTCTACTATTACCCACCCGATTCGGACTACTTGGACGGTGACAGCGCCAAGATCGAGTACTCGACTAGCTGGGTGATCCTCGATCACTCGCTGTCTGCTACGTCGACGGTGGGCGAGACGCAGGACTTGATCATGTGGGACCAGTTGACCGATGCGGCTCGTACGGCTCTAGAGGACACGGACTTTGGTGACGCCAACGTTCCGTTCAAGGAAACAAACTTTGCGACGAAGGTTGCCAACGCTTACTACGCCTAGATAAGCAGTAACCTTTTCTGAGCAATTGACGTGAAATGAATAAAAGTGTACGTTGTCAAATTCCATTTTGTCCACAGTGTTTGAAAAGGTTCCTTTTGTCGTAAAAGGTTAAAAAAAAAAAAAAGTAATCACACATTCAGCTCAACTTGAAATACACAAGGTTTAGTACTTCGAAGTTTATGCCGTAACATTTCTTTTGAAGTTATAAAATCAAACTTCAACGTCGCTAGCATGTGTTGCATACCATACGCATAATACGCATAATAATGGTAGGACGCCGAGAGCGCGACAATGGTAGAATCATCTAACGAGTCGATCCAGACAACGCACGCCTCCCAGTCGTGACGGTGACCGAGACCAGGTAGAGTTTCGTCCTTTGGCATGTACCACGAGTACATGAAGCCGTACACGCCTTCGTACTCGACAGCACGCCCGTAGATTTGACTACCAAGACTGGAACCAGTGCAGCCTGAACTCTGACTGCCCGTCGGCTTCAAGCCGCCACTGGTGTTGCCGTCCTCATCGACTGCTGGATACGGGTGGCATCCGTTGGCGATGTAGATCTAGGGATTGAACTACACGGCCAACGTCTGCAGTGTAGTAGTCGGTGTTGGCTGAGCGAACGGTACGACGGTGTCATGGTCGATTACAACAGCGTTAGTGCAGACGAGTGAAACAACACTCGCGACGATGACACGGAAGTGTCATGGTGAAGAGTGTGTCTGCGGTAGATTGGGAAATGGACGTCGGAAGAGCTCACCAAGATGTTCAGGTTGAGGCGGTGCTTGGACATTCGTCGGCCTGGACAAGCTAAGGACAGGAAATGTCATGATGCAGAGGTTCAGGAGTCAAACGTTAGTTGTGACTCACACCATATCGCTGCTTGCTGTTGGTCGCATCAACCGAGGTGATGATTCCCTTCCGTCGCTCACGTCCACTTTACATTACAGAGGATCGCGATGTAAGGGTAACCTCATGACTGCCTTGTGACTTACAGGGCAGTGTCTCGCAGTGTTTCTGTCGTAAGCTTCCCGACAAGCCACGAAATTCATGGCAGGATTCACGGTCTACATGTGACGTCGTCTTCGGCAACGTCAGAATAGCTACAACAATGCACGTTGTGTTCAATACTACACATGAAAAACCAGTCAAGCTGCAAGCATTATTGTAGCATACGTAAAGTATCAGCAGGTATAGAGCTTCCTCCAGCTTCAACAGTGTATCCACAGCCTCTGCAAGCCCCACAATGAGCTACTACTACTAGTAGGACATCT